CCCGTTGGCGGGTCTGTGGCTGCTGGAGCGGGACTCTGGCGAGAGGCAGACGCTCCCAATGCGCGGCTGCTGCTGCAGAGACACCCAAGGAGCGCGCCCAGCCGTCTCTTATCACTGGCCGCCCCTGCTCCTCCAGCGTTTGCCCCGGGGCCGTTTTGCGGGGAGACTTTTAAACCACGTACAGGCCATTTGAGGCTCACTCGCAGCGCCCGTGGTAACGATAGAAGCGGGACGGAGCTGCGAGCAGGAAATTCAGCCCAGATGTGCCTTCCCGCCGTGCCCTGTGGCACTCGGGAGCTGAGTTTCCCCTGGTGGGTAGGAACAATGGGCTCAGGTGGGTCTGCACATGCCTGAGCGGGGAGGACGTGGATTACCGAGTAGTCCTCCTCCACCTCTCAGGAGGAGATCCCGATAAAACCTCCACTTCCACCGCCGGGAAGATAAAAGCTCACTACCCCCATCAACTGCCAAGGAGTTTGGGATGGGAAAGTGATTGTCACTGGGCAGCGCAACCCAAGGAAATTCTCTAGCACTCAGTGCAGTCCAAAGAAATTCTCCAGCCCTTCATACTTTACACACACACAAGCACATCCAGCCCTCTTCAGAATTTACACACACACACACACACACCAACCTAAGGAGGCTCCGGCTCTCCCTCAGCACTGGGGAGCCCATGCTGGAGCTCCAAACACCTCCCCTCCCCTGCTGTTCTTCTGGTGGGGCTAGAGCGCACAAAATATACTAGCTTAGGCCCAACTGATTTTTCTGTGGGTCAGCAGTCCCTGACCCAACAAAAGGTTCCCTACCCCGCCCTAGATCTTCCCCATGTTTTTATAGCCTAGCTTGCTAGCCCCTTCCACACTCCACTCAAGCATTCATTCTTATAAGTGGAGAAAAAAAAGAGAGCAAGATTTGTTTATTATTGTTTGGAGATACTCAGCTAGTAAAAGGTTGGAGGGCCATAAAATCACCTAGATAGAGAAGCTACAGAGCAGCCTACATCCCCCTTCCATCACCAAAGTGGAAGGAGGATGACAACCAACAATGAAGTGCTGGCAGGACTTCTCTAACCCTTTCAGTTTGGTCAGAAGAGAGTGATAGGTCCTTTCCCCAATTTTTTGCCCTCTTCCTTCCCTCTCTTTTTGGCTGAATGCCAGTGCTCAGTAGTGGTTAGTTGCTACTCCTGATCTGTTCCACTACCACTGCCACCTCCAAATGCTACTCGGGGCCTGACAACTCAACAGAGCTGCAGCAAGCTAAATCACCAGACAGTCCAGCTTCAGTAACTGGACTTCACCTTTCCTTCCCCAGAGAACATTCAAATCTGCCAAGACTCTAACTTCTAAAGCAGTGGTTCTCAACCGCACAAGCAGGTTTCAGGGAGGCTGCCAAGCCAGGGCCAGCATTAGACTTGCTTAGACCAAGAATACAAAGTTGAAGCACCACTGCATGAAGCTGAAGCCCAGGGCCCTGAGTTCTACCACCTAGAGCTGAAACCAAAGCCTGATCAACGGAGGTTTGTGGCAGACCTGCAGCCTAGGGCCCCTGGCAATTGTTCAGCTTGCTATGCTCTGACTTTTATATGCAGAAAATCGGTTATTACGACACTGGGGGCTGTGGAGCTTTTACTGAGGAGCAGCGTGAGTGAGTGTGCACACACATCCCACACCAGGGGAGCTGATAGTCTTCACGGGCCTCTGGGCAAGGTGTGGGGGGCCCAACCCTGCACTACTGGAAGGGGCTGGATGGAAGGGTGAGGGCAGCCAGCCCCCCATGCTGCCCAGGGTGCAGCGCTTCCTCCCATCCCCTGTGCCACACAGAGAGCGCAGTGCAGCATTTCAGCAGTGATGTAAAGGGCCTAGGTCTCCAACTGCTGCAACATCAGCAGCAGACAGGAGCCTCAGGGCCCCTTGGAATCCTTTGCCTTCCTCCCTGTCGGTGAGTCTGCCCCCCAGACGTACACATGCACTCCCCTTTGGGACACAGACAGCAATACAGAAAGTGGTTGCAGGGTAAATGAGGAATAAAAATAACATGGGTTGAGATGTCTTGGGAGAAAGGCAGCAGTAGAGGTAAGTGCCCAGGTTTTTGAGCAGAAACTCTGGTTACCCTCAGGTAACTTCCATCACCACAGGGGGGCTATGTTTAGACTGCCCCCTCTTGTGCAAAAAAATGCAAATGAGGCGAAGCATGGAATATCGCATGCCTCATTTGCATAATTAATTAGGCTCCGTTTTTGCGCTAGAGGCTTTTTGCACAAGAGCCATTCTTCCTCTTTTTTTCAGGAAGAACGGCTCTTGCACAAGGGGGGGTTTGTGCAAAAACGGAGCCTCGTTAATTATGCAAATGAGGTGTGGCAATATTCCACACTTCACCTCATTTGCATATTTTTTGTGCAAAAGGGGGCAGTCTAGACATAGCCAGAGGGAAGAGCAGCCACTATGGCTGGAGCCTTGGGGAGCTCCTCTCTGCTCAGCTGCTCACAGAAAGAAGTGGCTGGCTCACAACTGGTTCCAGCCTCTCTGGAGAGAGGTGATACATAAGGGAAGGGGAATCCTGTCAATTTCCCCCCCACACACCCCAATTTCCCTGGCCCAGCTCCTTGTTTGGGGGGACTGACCTCCTCCCTCTGCCCCACTGTGCCCCAACTGGGCAGGCAGGCAGGTTCTGCATCAGCTCCTCCCAGCCCAGCTCTGCTGTCCACAGGTGAGTGTGCTGGGATAGGGAAGGAGCAAGAGATTAAGTGGGAGAGTGAGCAGGACCTGAGAGAAAGGGAGGACGGGCTAGGGCAGGGTGTCTGGTGTTCAGCAGTTAGAAAGTTGGCAGACCTAATGGGTGGTAGCATATGGGGAAAGGAGTCAATGAGAAAAAGGGAGAGGGATGGAGGGAGTCACAGAAGAAAGTTACCTGAGGAAGAGTAAGCATCAGAGATGAACAGGGCTTGAGAGGAAGAGCAAGATTGAAACGGGATAAACAGCTGAATGTGAGGCAGAAACACTGAAAGGGAGAAAGGACAGATTGAAAGGAAAAAAACTGAAGGGAAAATAAGGTCTGGCTGACATAAGCCACCTTCCACACAAAGAAACAGGAAAGGTGGTTGGATAGGGGAAGAGATGTCAGAGTGACATGCAAATGAAACCTAAGTGCAAAGAGATGCTTCCCTAACGTGTGCTGGACAAATTTCTCATACCTCAGTTGCAGCTAATTGCCAGGAATCAATTTGTAGCTAAAGTCAATGAGCATCTTTATGGTATGGGATAACTGAGAGGGGTCTATTGCTCAAACTCACCCTCCCCCAGTAGCATTTACGTTTATGCAATATAGGTCTTGTCAACACTAGCCCCTGCCATCGATCTAATCTACATGACTTCAGCTATGCAAATAACTTAGCTGAAGACAACGTACTTAATGCAGCGTCTTGTGTGTGATAAGGGCGGTGGGGGCTCCTTTCCATCGATGGCTACTCTTCTCATCCTGGTGGAGTTCTAGCATCACCCGGAGAACACCTGGAAATCATTTAAGCAGACATGATAAATCAATAGCAGATGGATCAATCATTGCTGTATCGATCCCCATTGTAGTGGAGACAAGCTCATGTGTTATACTTGATACAGGTGAATGTAATTCAATGCAATAATAGTACACATACTGGGGAAGAGCCAAAGCCAAACAGCTTACTCATATTATTATTTTCATTGGGTTTGTTTCTTCTCTAGGTTAGTCCCCCACTCCAGGAAAAAAACACTGCCTTACGATAGTCCTACAGAAGTATTTGTACAGTAGCAATCAGAGACTGGGACTTTGATTGGGACCATTGCTCTGGCACTGTTCATACACATAGTAAGATAAAATTTGGCTTGTAAAAGTATCTTTAATGCTACTTTACAGATGTGGGAAACTGAGACACAAAGCAATTCAAGGCCAGATTTGTGAAGCTATTTAGGCACCTGAAAGTCACCAGTGAGATTCTCAAAATCATTTGGGTGCCTAACTCCCATTTCCCAAGAACTGAATCTAGATTACTTCAATCACACTTCTTAACCACAAGCCATCCTTGCTATCCCATGCACGGTTGTATATAGGAGGAGTTAACAGCAGTTACTGAAGTTATTAGCAATACATTAGTTTAAACCCAGAATGAGAGGAGGACCAGACCCTTTGCTTTCCACAGAAAAAGTCATGTGGCTGAGGTGAGCAGGGTACAGTTTAGTTATATTTGATACATTATGAAACTTTATTTTTTTCTAAATTCATATTATTTGTTTTCCCCGTTATTTTACAAAAATTTATCAGTGTTCAAAAACATCATTCTGTGACTGGAAAATTAATCATGTAGGAACATTTGCTTACTCCAATCAAGTCATATGCTTGGAATTGGTTTATAAAAAACAGATGTTTACATTCTTTTTTCCCTTCAACACTGATGTCATAAGAAGAAAGTACATAACCAGAGCTGAGCAAAATGTTCACAATAAAACCAAAAACTGTGGAAAACTTGCCTTGTGTGGAACTTCACTGGCAGAAAACTCAGATCAGGTTAGTCAAAATGTTCACATATCTTCTAAATAAAGATGAGCCCAAAGCCACAAAAATGGAATCTAGATTTTGAACACTTCAGCAAATGGAAGCATTTGGATCCAGTATTTTGGGTCAATCCTTTACAAGTATAAGTTCCTGTTAATGTTTTTTCCTTACACAAAGAGCAGCCATGTACACTCATTCTTATGTTCCTATTAGATTCAGGAAAAGAAGAAGAAAGAACAAAAGTAAAGTCTTTGGCTATGTCTAGACTGCCATGATTTTCCGCAAATGTTTTTAACGGAAAAGTTTTTCTG